CTACACCTTAAGATCAGCTGAAGTATTGAAATGCAGAAGTGGAATTGGGATGTGATCATGTAGTAATGTAGGCTTCGGCTGAAATCATGTTTATTTGTTAAAACCACAGTGTTGGGTAAAACCCAGAAGATATTAATACCTTGTCTAATAAAGTGCTTTCTAAATCTGTTGTCTGAGCTAATTCCCTTCTTGTCTTCTCATGTTTTACTATTGGCATGCAGTGTATGGAGGGCATTCTAGCCTTTGGAAGCATGTAACCAATGCGTCAACGGAGATGTAGAAGGTATAATCATGTCGGTGATAAAGAGCTGTCTGCCTATAATCAGTTGGTCCGTCATAGTTTTCAGAAGAAGTTTTGTAGAACAGCATTGCATGCCCTGTGGGGAAGTGACGTGGAGTTTGAAGTACAGTTTCAGTTCTGGTGTACCTTCTGAGCTCAGCTGACAGTCAGCTTTCTTGCATTGCCATGACCATGTTCTCTAACTCTGGTACTGACAGCACTTGGCAAGATCTCCATCCTGATTTAGTGGTCTTCATACAAGAACAGTTTCAGTTCTTTTGTTCTAGGCCTGCTGCAGATGAAGGTGCATTTTTGTTTTGGCTCTAACCAACCAGTTGGCTTACCTGTGCTGAAAAGAGGGAGGTGGTGTTCTTGGTCCTGTATCCCTTTCCCCTTTTTAGCTTTTTTTCGTTCTTTCCACAGTTGTGTGATATTCAGTGGGCCAATGTAGGGTAATCTTATTAAACTAGCAAAAAATGATGTGTGGGTGTTTTGTGGTTTAGGAGGTTGAGTTCAGCTTAATTGACTGGAGTGTGAAGAAAGGTGGAGAAAGATGTTCAGTTGTGTGTGAGATGTAACCCACTACAACTGATGTCACTGCTTTTTCATGCTGCCTCATATGCAGTAGATCTTGGCATCCTTGGAGGTCCGTAGCCAAATCTCTGAATGACTCCGGAGGCAGTGGCAGTTTGTCCACATCTATTTCTAAGGGGTGGAATGTTTTCAGTCTTTCTTGAGCCATAGGGTTTTATAAAGATACTTCTAGTAAATAGGCTAATCTTTTAAAAGCAGCTCAAATAATTGTTTGTATTATAGTAGTACAATTAAATAATTCTCACATTTGAGAAAATAATAGATTATTTGGAGAATCTGTTATGCACCGTGCCTGCTAAAGGGGAACACTGTAGTTCAGTATCTGGGTGCAGCACAAGTACAGGCTGGGCAGAGAATGGATTGAGAGCAGCCCTGAGGAGAAGGACTTGGGGTACTGGTGGATGAAAAGCTGAACATGAGCCGGCAGTGTGCGCTGGCAGCCCAGAAAGCCAACTGTATCCTGGGCTGTATCCGGAGAAACGTGTCCAGCAGGTTGAGGGAGGGGATCCTCTGCCTGTACTCTGCTCTTGTGAGACCCCACCTGGAGTGCTGCGTCCAGCTGTGGAGCCCTCAACATCAGGACATGGACCAGTCAAGATGCCACGAAGATGCTCAGAGGGCTGGAGCACGTCTGCTGTGGGGACAGGCTGAGAGACTTGGGCTTGTTCAGCCTGGAGAAGGCTCTGCAGAGACCTTATCACAGCCTTCCAGTACCTGAAGGGGCTACAAGGAAGCTGGGGGTAACTTTTTACAAGGGCCTGTAGTGACAGGACAAGGGGTAACAGGTTTAAATTGAAAGCGGGGAGGTTTAGATTAGATATCAGGAAGAAGTTCTTCCCGGAGAGGGTGGTGAGGCACTGGAACAGGTTGCCCAGAGAAGCTGTGGATGCCCCATCCCTGGAAGTGTTCAAGGCCAGGCTGGATGAGGCTTTGAGCAACCTGGTCTAGTGGAAGGTGTTCCTGCCCATGGCAGGGGGGTTGGAACTAGATGGTCTTTAAGGTCCCTTCCAACCCAAACCATTCTGTGATTCTCTGGGTGTCTTTTCAGTAGGATTGTTTTCACACTATAAGACATCTTGAATTTAGGAATCTAGAAATAAGTATTCATGAAACATGGAATGTCCTAATATGTTATTCATAAGCAACTAATTTTTTTCAACTACATAAAAAAGTTGTGATCTATATAGACTTTGGGATTTTTACTTCCTAAGCACTCTGTACTCTTCTGTATACTTTATTAATATTGCTTTGTAGGACAAGTTCAGTAATGCTAGCTTTTTTGCATTTTGAGTGTAAGAAGTTGATGTTGTTCTACTCTTGTCCACCTAAATTTCATGGTATCTTCATATTCTAGTTCCTGTAATGTTTAGATGGAATAGAGCATCCAGCTTTGCTACCTTTCCATAAATCCTGTTCTGCCTCTTGGCTAAAATTCTGTCATTCCAGTGCAAATGTTTGAAAAAATTGCCCTGTGAGGGCTTCAGTAAAAACTTCTTACTGCTTTTATGAATCCAAAGGCCAAAATCTGTCTTTAGTACTTTGATCAGACACAGATGAACAAGGAGGAAAAAAAATAGATTAATTTACAAATACTGGGTTGAGTTCATGTGAATGCCATTCAATAAATCTGTGTTTTATCTGTATGCATTCTATTAGATGTCAGGGCAGTGAAATTCAAGAATAACATTTGCATAGTACTCGGAGAAAAATTTGAAGTTCCTTTCCTGACTGTACTTAAATCTATCTTGTGTGTTTTCTCATCCTTGTAATAAAAAGATTTTAAATAATCATTTAAGATGAAAGAATTTACATAACAAGTACAGAAACAGGATGCCTTTGAGGTGTTGCTTTTATAAATTGCTTTCTTTATCATTGTGTTTTGCCTTGTTTTGTTGTTCTTATCCTTTAAGGCCCAACTGTTGTTACAAAACTCTTAACAATTAACTTTAAATTCATGAGGCCTGAGAAGCTGTCCTCCAGGTAACCTGTTTTCTGGAAATTAACTCAGGAATTGTTTTAGTTGCCGCATACCTTTTAATTGTATAAATGCACACCAGTACATAATTTATAAACTTCCAGGTAGTATGTATTGACCTAATACATTTTTCAATTGGATCTCATTACTGATGATTCATGTACCTTCATTTTACGTGACTTAGTGCTTCAGAAATAACAGTATTGAAATGGATTGCCTGCCTGTATATATTTGATCTCAACTGTGGGGCTCTCAAGGCCATAGTAATTCTACGTTTTTATTCATTGTTTCAGAAAAGAGGCATCAGTTGATTGATGGAACTGTTGACTGTTTTCTTAACTTGCAAGGTACACTTGCAAGGCTTTAAGGAAAGAAGATTAAGATACTGTTTTCTTGTACTTTAATTCGGGCATGTGAAAGGTGTGAAAAACTGATTAGTGTACTTGCATAGGACTTGAGTCATGCTTTGCATAATCCCCAAATTCACTCGTGGCTCCTGAGTTCATCTCTGTATGTTAACACAGCGGGACCAATTCCGTGACACTGTCTTTGTTTTTGCCATTAGAACTGCCATGTATGTAGCAAAGTTAATTTATTCCACCATGGTGAAATACTTGTCAACTAGAGTTTGGGTATCCTCAACTCACTTCTGAAAATCACAGGTGAAGTGGCTTGCTTTCATTGTGACTCCGAGTTGTTTTTTGATGTGTTCTGCTCTGTGAACTTTCAGTAATTACAAGACTGGTAGCACAGTGCACCTGGACGTGTCCCTCGGCCTGTGCATGCTGTGAAAGAAAGCAGCTTTGAAGGATTGCTTTCCTGGTATCCTGTGACTCAGCAGGAGCTCTTGGTGTCTAAGCATCCTAGCTGCGGAGTCTGCACTGTAAACTCTTGGTTCTCAGGAAAACTAACTTCTCCACCTGCCTGGTGCTGTGGAGCAACACAGGAAGCAAGTATTGTATTCCAGCCAGTTGTGCCTGCCACCAAGTTGGGTGGCAGTGTTGATCTGCCGGGGAGTAGGAAGGCTCTGCAGAGGGATCTGGACAGGCTGGATCGATGGGCCAAGGCCAACTGTATGAGGTTCAACAAGGCCAAGTGCAGGGTCCTGCACTTGGGTCACAACAACCCCAGGCAAAGCTACAGGCTTGGGGAAACTACATTCTCTACTGTTAAGAATTCACCGGAGTAGTAATGTTAGAAAAGGCTTTTGAAGCTTAGCAATAATAAATGTGTTACAGGGTCTGTGTCATGCACCACCTTCATGCAAAGTCTTTGTGACTTCAGCTACCTTTTGATTACTGCTGTGATTGTGAGCCACAAGGGAGAAAAGCATTTGTTGACTCAGACTGTACTTGCCTTCTAGTAGTCCTTGGGGTTGAAGTTCAGGTAGAATCTTGTTGAATACAAGAATCCTGAAATGGATGGAGGGTTTTTTGTCACTGGCAGCGTGAATATAATAGCTTGCTTTACAAAAATCTTAAATAGATGCTTATCATGATTCTAAAAAGGACTCTTCAAATTCTGTTTAACTATTGTGGTGTTTTCACAAAAATTGCTTCCAACTCCTTGGATTTGTAGTGATGTAAAGAGGAAAGAGTTTAAGCCCTAATAGTAGAGGAGTATTTTTTTATAATCATGGTACTTAGTTTTCCAGCCTGCTATTCGTAGCATGTTGTAAATAACAAAGACGTACATCCTTTGTGATAACTTCAGACTTTTCTACAATCTGTTCAGAATTTCACTGGAAGTAAATATATAACAGTTCCATTTTATGCAGGTCAGATTAATTTAAGTTATACCTACACGATGCTGCAATGGGACTGTGTAAAGACCTGAACGAGTGCATTCCAGTGAAATGTCATGCAGACATACCTGTGAAATGTTAAGTGTTTCCGTATTGGAATTTGAGATATGATAATTCCCAGTCTTGTCTCTAAGCCATTGTCCCTCGATATCTAGATCTAAAAGTGTAATCCAGTAATTGTTTTACACATGCAGCTGGGGAAGGAGGAAAAGCTGTTGTGATGGCTTAAAAGATAATTGATTGTGCTTTCTTTCCTATAGAAAATGCCAGAAGCCTCAGAAGACCATAATCATTGGAAGGCCTGTTGACTTCCATCTTTTGGTAATCTGGAACATCATCAATCTGGCATGGCGCAGGGCAGTCAACAACTCGATGTGCAGGTACTCCATGATCTCCGACAACGTTTCCCTGAGATACCTGAAGGGGTGGTATCTCAGTGCATGCTTCAGGTATGGTAAAGAGTTTTTAGGAGTCCGTGTACTTTATTTTTGTAGTTTGAAAATTCTTTTTAGTAGTGTACATGGAGCATAGATTTTCATTCTTCTGGTTTTATTTTGAAAGGATAAAAGACTCCTCCACTGCTTGCATTTTTGTCCTGTCTTTTATGTACAAAGATTTTGTGGTACCTAACATGATAAACTAAGATGGAACCTAACATGGGAAGGTGGAACCTAACATGATAAACTGCTGCAGCTAAGCTGTATTTGCATCCTGCTTGTCCCTGACAGAAGAGTAGGTTTACTTATAACTGCGGCTGTAATTTTTGCACTGTGTGTCTTCTAAACCATACAAATACAAATTAATTGCTTTCAGACAAATGTAAAGCAGGGGAAGCCCTGCAATATAAAGCTTTACTTATCCTGACAGTCATCTCTTCTATACTCTTAAGTGCATGATCCCTTTGAGCCATATTTAAGTCACAGACATCTTTAAACTGTTAAAATTTAAGAACCTCTAATGCTGCAGAAGCGTATGGCATTTTATCTGTATAATACGGTGTTCTGCATAGCTAGTTAATGTTACATTGCAGATATCTGCCCCTTTTTTAAGTGTAGAAATTGTTTCCAAATCCACTTTATATTTGTTTTAAGATACATAAGCTGGTTTCCATTAAGTTATTGCAATACGTGCTCTAGATTTAGACCAGTGTGAATTTTGGACCTATTAAAAATTGAGGGTCCTTTGAAATGGCAAATATATTCCATACTCTGAGAAGATCAGGTTAGGGCTTGTCCTGTCTGTGCTCTGTCTGCCTCCATCCTGATGAAGTGACCTGGGGAAGCGAAGGACTCTCTTTATAAAGTCCTGTTTAGATGGCAAGTAGCTGATGGTAGCAGTTAACCTTGAGACTGCTGTCTTGGCACTGTGATGCTGGTTATTATTACAAGGTCTGGTTCCCACATGTTCTGGATTTAAACTTCTCTGTGATATGTCTGGATATTCCCATTGACCACTGGGGTCTAGAAGGGAGCTTGGCATGAAGACGAAGTAGTCAGGGAGAAGTATCCATAGAGTCAGAGCCATACACAAGTAAGTTCTGGACTCTTCTGTCAAGTTCAGTAGTAAGTATTCATCTGAGGATGCTGAATATGTGTATTCCTCTGATAGTGAAATCGTATGAAATTTTGGGAAGGTCATCTTCACTTTAGTATTAAGACTGGCTAGGTATCAGTCCTTTAGAAATGAAATGTAACTGTGACTTTTCAACCAACTGGATAGGCTGTAGGAAAATTGTATTGCAAGGCCACATGAGTATTAATATGTATACAAACTTTATATAGCAATAGTGTTTAAAATAGAAGTGAAACCACTACTAATGTATGTTCCTTAGAATGGCAATCTTAGCGCATTAAGGAAGGTGGGGGTGTATGCATGTATATATAAAGATGTACACACTTGTTCTGTGTATCACAGAACGTACCAGTCTTGGATCACATGTTGCAAAGTTTGGCTGCTGAGGGCCAGATGTAGTTGAACTTGACTTAGTGATTTTTTTTTTTTTTTAAATTTAACTACTGTTTAAATTAAAATCTGAACCACAGCTGATACAGGATGCTGTATGAGAAACTGGGGACAAAAAAGATCCACAATCTGGAATGCTTTCTAGTGATTTTCTTCCTTTGGAAAAGCTGTAATTCATGTCGTTCTTTTCACAAGACCAGGTTAAGCTGAAGTGAATGGAGAGGGGAAGAAGGGAAAGAAAGAGAATTCCCCATTATACTTTCTGATTCATAATTTATGGTCTGTATAGTTTCAGCTGCTGGCACCACAGAACAAATCAAACATTTACAGGGGTTATTTGGTTTCCTCACTGATGTATGAGTAAACCTTTTTTTACCCTTAAGCCTGAAATTCTTAAAGGCAGTTGAAATTATGTTAGAGTTGTGATGTGCTTTATGGAATTGCCAGTATTTTTTCAAGCAATACTTATTCTGACTTAATATTTAAAGCACTAAATTCTGGTTTACCAAGAGAAGCTGGTTGCAAATGTTGGACTTTTAAACTTTCAGGTAAAGAGAAATACTCAGGTAAACAGTAAAATAAAGCTAAAACTAGTAAACACTCAGGTAAACATTAAATTCTGCACTTTTAGTTGGACCTTACAGAGCTTGCAATTTTGCTCTAGTTTAATATGATTTGTGTTGTTACTATAAGTAGTTAATTGTACATACCTGTTCACTGCAGAAGATGCCAAGAGTTCTAACCATTGCTTTCCCCTCAACTGGACTTGATTTTTCAATATGTCATGTTGTAGGTAGTGTTATCATAGTGTTTTCCTAGATACGGTGAGAGATAGGTACTACTTGCATACTATGACTTCGGAGTTATTGCCTGTATATAAAAATTTCTGTCTGTGAAATGTTATCCTTACTTGTGTTCAAGCTAGGCTTGATCCCAGCTTCAGTTGAATGCTTGTTGAACACTGAGCAGTGGATTTTTCTTTTGCTGTTTGACAATAATAGATGTCTATTCTCACTCCTAGAACAACAACAACCTAGATGCCTGTTGTCGAGCCCTCGCACAGGAGAGCAACAAATACTTATATATGGAGTACCATAGCCCTGATGACACCAGAATGAATAGAAATAGCCTTTTGCACATTAATCTGGGTATTCATCCTCATACCAGCTATCATGCAGGGGATGGAGCTCAACTTAATGGTGGTCGTACACTGGTACACAGTTCAAGCGATGGACATATTGATCCACAACGCACGGCAGGTAAACAGCTGATATGCTTAGTTCAAGAACCACACTCTGCACCCGCTGTTGTGGCAGCTTCTCCTAGTTACAATCCATTTTTCATGAATGACCAGAATAGAAATGCAGCTACTCCTCCTCCACAGCCACCTCCACAGCCATCTTCCATACAACCAGGAATGAACACGTCTGCTATGCAAGGCCCTCCTCCCACGTATATGCACATACCTCGGTACAGTACAAATCCCATTACTGTTACAGTATCACAAAACCTCCCCTCTGGACAGAGTGTACCCAGAGCTCTACAAATTCTTCCACAGATTCCAAGCAATCTTTATGGGACTCCTGGCTCTATTTATATAAGACAAACATCTCAAAGTTCTTCAGGACGACAGACTCCTCAGAATACACAGTGGCATTCATCGCCACAGGGCCCAGTTCCACATTATACTCCCCGTCCTCTACCTGTGTATCCACATCAACAGAACTACCAACCTTCACAGTATTCTCCTAAACAACCCCAGATCCCTCAGTCAGCTTTTCGATCACCACCGGCATCCCAGTGTCCCTCTCCCTTTGGCTCTCCTCAACACCAAGTTCAGCCACCTCAGCTGGGTCATCAGAGTTCACATGTGTTCATGCCTCCTAGTCCTTCAACTGTCCCACCCCATCCATATCAGCAAGCATCCCAGACTTTTCAAAAACAAGGCGGTCACTCTGTATCGTATCTTCCTCCTTTTGCTGGACCTAGTTTATCCAAAGGTTCCATGAACAAAATAGAGATTACAGTTGAGCCACCGCAAAGACCTGGGACTGCAATGAACAGAAGTCCTTCACCAATAAGTAATCAACCATCTCAGCGAAACCAGCACCCGCTGTATGCAGCCACTACTCCTCCTTCAAGCTCTCCATCAAGAGGTATGTCAGGTCAACCCAAACCTCCATTTAGTGTTAATCCAGTATATATTACCTACACTCAACCAACCGGACCTACAGGTGCACCAACACAGTCTCCTCGGGTTATGGTATCTCAGCCAAACCCAACCATTTTTAAAATCACAGTAGGTCGAGCACCGACTGAGAATCTTTTAAATTTAGTGGACCAAGAAGAGCGTTCTGCAGCACCAGAACCTATTCAGCCTATTTCTGTAATCCCAGGATCTGGAGGAGAAAAAGGAAGCCATAAGTATCAGAGAAGTTCTAGTTCTGGATCAGACGACTATGCTTACACTCAAGGTAAATGCTTCACCCTGCAAATTGTATTGTTGTAAAATGCATTTTTAGCTTGATTTTGCTACTTACTAAGGGAGAGTTTTTGAACCTGTACAGAGAATAGAAATTGCACCAAAATCATCTAATGAGAGAGTTTGTTCCAAGTTAAAGAATATTTTGCCAAACTTGTCTAATACATAAAGAATTTCTGAGGTTCTTAAAGTTGCTGTGCTTTTGATCTTGGGGGACTTTCTGAAAACAAAACACTGCAGCCAACCAGTAAGTGGTTTGTTTATATACTGCGTGTCAGATTTGTAAGTGCTCTGTTTAAGAACTGTGTCATGAATTTACATGTGGATTTTATTGGCTTTTTCATATTTGGTTCATACAAGGGTACTTTATAAAACCTGAAGCACTAACTTCTGCAGGGAATTTGAATCCAATTTGTTTGGTTTAGATTGAAGAGTATTAAATGAAAGAGGAAACAGAGGTAGGATTGCAGCTAAAATGACTTCGTGTTTCAATAAAAATCGTATCATTGTTTTGAAAGGTATTAAAGTAATTATTTTGAAAAACTTTAATCAGAGGTTCACTTTTTCCACTTAGAGGTTTCAAAGAGGAGGAACAGATCAGCAGACACATTTTAGGATGTGTGTTCTGCTGCATAGGGATAGAACATAGTCTTAATGCTACATATAAATGAAGAATTGAGTAATTTAGGGGAGGAAAAAAAAAACCCTTTTGCTGCAAACTGCTTTTCTCAGAGTAATCTGCTTTATAGATTTGAAACATTTAAAATTGAGCGAATGAATCAGTCTGCAAGCATTCAAAACAGTTATTTTGGATAATGATAGAATGATAATCAGCAGCAATTATTTAAAGAATGTGTTTTGTTTCTGTATTTGTGTTTGGAAATGAGATTCTGTTCCTCCATTGCTCCTTCTAGCCTTCCTTTCACTGTGGAGAGATGAAATGATGGTTATAATCCTGCCCTGTAGTTCTTGATTACTTACCTCGCTTCATGTCTTTTGAGTTACCCTCGCTCATCAACAAAGAGCTGTTCTGTACCTGGTAGCCCCAGTCAGAATGTTATTTAGACAGAACAAACACTAGTGGGTCTGTGACTCCTGAGCCACAGGCTTTGTTTGGTGGTGTTCCTGTCACAGAGTCATTAAAGGTTGCAAGAAAGTGCCATCGTATAACTGAGAAAAACCTATTCTGAAATGTTGAAGCCTTTGTGTGTTTGGCTAGATGTGTGTATTTGGAAAACCAACCCAATAAAACTGGTTAGTACGTGCTTTTGGGGGGCGTCTGCTTTTGTGGCAACCTACCACAGCTGGGGCTTTATTACAGCCTCTGGTACTGCTGCGCTCTGAACACTTGATAGAAATAAATTGTAGAAGAATAAACGTTATATCCTTTACTCCTGCAAAAGAGCCCTAAAGAAGAGTATGTTTAACAACTTAACATAGGGAACAAGGTTATTTAATTTTCTTTTGAATATTTTTTTGTTGTGATTGTTACAGAAATCCGTTGCGGTGTCTGTACCTCCATGGCTTCTCTGTAGCGTGAGTCATGTTGGATGAGTTGTACTGAAGTATAACACAAAGCTATGTAGTGGAGTCATGTCGTTATAACATTATCAGTGTCAAATTGGAGGAATCACATAAAGATAAGGTTTGATAGTAATAGTGGAGAATCATACAGCCTGGTGTCTGTGCCTCTTAAGCTGTTCTTGAATGGCTTATGCTACTTCAAAAAGTAGAAACAGTTTTGTTCAGTAATAATAGTGCCTGTATTATGACAACATCTGATGTTGTTGTTGGATAGTGTTTATTTTTTGGCTGTGAATTGGTGGATCCATACAGAATTCAATACATTTTGCACAAAATACTTTTTGCACAGAATACTGACGTCTGAAAAAAAGGTCATTTTTGTGCTCCTGACTGAGTTGTTGGGTTTGGGGTTTTTTGTTTTGTTTTGTTTTTTTTAAATCCTCCCCCAGTAAGCTGTGTCACTGTTGCTTTTTTCTCACCTTTTCATTTTTTAGCTAGTATGCAAATATTCATGAGACATTCTGTGGTTTTTCTTTGCCTGTGTTGGCTAGGGGTGAAGAAAAGGGCAGGTGCTGGCTGGTGCTATGTATTGCAGATTCTGCATCTTCATACCTTTGCACAGTTTGCTGGAACATTGTTACGTGAACAGTGGGCTTGTCTGAATACCCACAGCAAATTTCTCTCATTTTTCCCTGTCCTAGTAGACCTCAGCCAGGTAAAAACAGCCAGATCAGAAAGCATCACGCTAATTAACTTGGCCAGTTTTGCGTCATGATGAAATACTGAGAAATGCTCTTCCTACAGAAAATTAGTAGTATTTTCTAGCTAGTCAAAATTCTTTCTTTGGCTGCTCAGCTCAACATCAGCTTGTGACTGAGTGTCATAAAGTTCAGTACCATGACAAAAATATGAAAGAATGATGAACAGCACAGAGAGGTTAGAGGACAGTGAATCAGCTCTGTTGTGGAATTACAGACTCTGAGGCACCTGAACTGCCCCTACCTGTTATTTTCTGGATTCTCTAGTCCGTTTCATGGAAGTTCTGTAGTTTTTACCTTTGTGCACCGGGGAACTTATAGTATTGAGAATTACAGCACTCTCTGAAAAGCTGAGCCTACTTAAAGTTGTTATGGCATAATCTGTAATAGCAGTGAAAAAAAACCCACCAATTCAGAACTGATGTCTGGCTAATGTCATAAGGCTAGCATGTCAGCTGCTACTGAGGAGCAGATACGAAGTGTGTGCTACCTTCTGATCTTACCTCTGGTATTTTTTTTTTTTTTGTCAGTACAGTATTAATATAACTAGGTTGCTGTTTCATCCTGAGAAGCTGTCTCCTTGTACAGGTGCCTTTGTATTTTTGAGACGAGAAAGAACAATTGCAAAAAAAGAAGCTTTGACCAAAATGGTAATACCAACTTCAAGTTACTGTCTAAAATGTGTTTTTATTCTGGAAGAACTTTGTTCTAAATTGTAGTTCATTTGGCATGAAAGCATCTTCACACTGATATTTGGCTGCATGTTTATGATCACCTTTTTTTTCCAGAAAGGTCACTCATGAAACTTACGCGTAAGTTAAGAATTCAGTTTTCCAGGTTTTTGTGTGTTAGTAACTGTTTCTTCCATGTAAAATGTTAGCCTTGCTGTTACATCAACGAGCAAGGATGGAGAGATTAGCAAAGGAACTGAAGCTTGAGAAAGAAGAGCTCGAACGCCTGAAAGCTGAAGTCAATGGTATGGAGCATGATCTAATGCAGAGGCGGCTTCGAAGAGTTAGCTGTACAACTGCAATTCCAACAGTAAGCAATTTGTTAGTATTTTAATTCAAGTTACAAATTTATTTTTCATGTTTTTATGAACTGAATTGTTATACAAAAGATATTTTTGGGTATAAAATCTTCAATCTTTGGACATGATTTTGGCAAGTTCTTGGCTTGTTGTAAGGAAGTTCTTGTAATTTAAGAAACATGTATGTGTCCAGCATTCTTAGTGTTCACAACGGAATTTCTGAAAGTTGCATACATGTGCTTTTCTGGACCACAGAACTGAATAGATGGTTACTTTCCTAACAACCTCTAAAAGTGTGTGTTTAAGTCTGCTTAATGTGCCTGAGACATACACAGCATGGTGTTCATGCAGCAAGGTTTCACTGTTTTTTAAATAAAGGTATTTTGCTATATTGAGGTATTTTGTTGTCCAAATTCCCAAGTCCCAGAGACCCTGGGAAAAGTGTGGAGCAAGGAAGGTATACCAGTGGTGGAAGAGGATCAGGTCAGAGAATACTTAAGCAAAGCAGACATACATGAGTTCATGGTCCTGGATGAGATGCACCCATGAGTGCTGGGAGCTGGCAGATGTCATTGCGAGGCCACTCCAGATAATCTTTGATTATGGTGTTTGGGAGAAGTGCCTGAAGACTAGAGGAGAGCAAGTGTCACTCCTGTCTTCAAGCAGGAAGATCCAGGGAACTACAGGCTGGTCAGCCTCACTTTGATCCCTGGGAAAGTGGTAGAGCAGCTAATCCTGGAGACCATTTCCAGGCATATGAAGGACAAGAAAGTGATCAGCAGTAGTCAGCATGGATTCAGCAAGGGGAAGTCAAGCTTGACTAATCTGATAAACTTCTGGTATGAAGACTGGCCTGCTAGATGAGGGGAGAGTGTTGGTTATTGTCCACCTGGACCTCAGTAGGACTTTCAATATTGTCTCCTGTGAGAGCTTCACAGAGAAGCTGATGAAGTATGGGCTGGATGAGCAGTGAGGTGGATTGAAAACTGGCTGAACAGCCAGGCCAAGAGTGTAGTAATCAGTGGCACAAAGTCTGGTTGGAGGCCAGTAACTAGCAGTGTACCTCGGGTCAGTACTGGGTCTGATCCCATTTAGTATCTTAATGATCTGGGTGACGGGGCAGAGGGTACCCTCGGCAAGTTTGCTGATGACACAAAACTGGGCAAGTTGTGCTGCCATTCATTGAGGGACGTCAGCAAGCGGCAGGAACCTTGTGCCATTCAGAGGGGAAGGTATTAAGTCATGCACTTGGGGAGGAACAACCCTGTGCACCGCTATAAGCCGGGGAGTAACCAGCTGTAAAACAATTTTGCAGAAAAGGCCTCGGTGGTCCTGGTGGAGACCAAGCTGAGCACGAACCAGCAATGTGGCAAAGGTGGATAATGATATCCTGGGCTGCATTAAGGGTGTTGCCAGCAAGGGGAGAGAGATTGCTCTTCCCCTTTATTCAGCACTGGTGAGGCCACACTTAGAGTATGGTGTCCAGGAGTAGGCTCCCCAGTACAAGAGAAAGACATGGCCATAGTGGAGTCCAGTGAAGGGCCACAAAGATGTTTAAGGGACTCGAGCATCTCTCCTGTGAGGGCAGAATGAGAGAGCTGGGACTGTTGAGCTTGGAGAAGAGGAGGCCCAGGGGGAAACTATCAATATATATAAATACCTGATGGAAGGGTGCCAAGAGGATGGAGCCAGGCTCTTCCCAGTGGTGCCCAGTGACAGGTCCAGAGGCAGTGGGCACAAACTGAAACACAGGAGGGTCCTTCTGAACATCAGGAACCACTTTTTTACTGTGTGATTGACTGAGAACTGGCATGTGTTGCCCAGAGTGGTTGTGGAGTCTTCATCCCAGGAGATACTCAGAAGCCATCTGCAGTCTGGGCAGAGGGGTTGGAGCAGGTGTCCCTCCCAACCTCAAACGGTCTGTCATTTTGTGACTTTGTCTGTGATGCTGGACTGTGTTCTAGGACAGAGCAGTTCTTCCTACATAGATGTTAATAATCACTGCAGCTAGCATTAAGGACACTTTGTATTCCAGTAACTTGGGGTTGCTTAATGACATGCAAATATATGGACTTAAATAATGGATTATTCTGTTAAGTATAATTACTGTCTTGCAGCACTGAACAATTTAAATATACTAGGCTAGAAGGTTTGGCATGTTGGAGCTCCTTGGGGTGATGCAAATAAATAAACTTCTCGCCTATTAGGTTATAATCAAGTAATAATTAATGTGAACTGCAGCTCGTATTCTGTTTCCAGATCATCACGTAGAAGTTACCAGTTTATGCAGAATTTTATAAGGTATATGGTTTTATAAACAAGCTCAGCTATGTCTTCTTATTGATGAATTTAATAATAGGCAACTTGTTAATTTTTGTTGGTTTGGTTTACTTTCCTCCTTAAATACCAACAGAAGAATGTTTTTTGAGGAAGTAAATTGGGTAGGGGGGACGGGACAGGAAGTTGAATCTTGGCGATTGTTTTCAGTGCCTTATCTATACGCAGTTTCCAGTAAAGCTGTTAACACTGCTATATCTTTGTTATTTCTATGTCAGATAAGACACTAACTTTCCCACAATTACTGTTTTGGGTTGTTTCTTTCTAGCCTGAGGAAATGACCAGATTGAGAAGCCTCAACAGACAGCTCCAGATAAATGTTGACTGTACACTGAAAGAAGTTGATCTCCTTCAATCTAGAGGTATAGAATTGATAGGGGTTTTTTTAATATGGGTGGGAGTGTTGGAGACCCCACCAAGTGGGGAAGGAGTGTTGAGCTGCCTGAGGGCATGAAGACTCTACTAAGGGATCTGGACAGGCTGGATCGATGGGCCGAGGCCAACTGTATGAGGTTCAACAAGGCCAAGTGCCGGGTCCTGCGCTTGGGTCACAACAACCCCAGGCAGCACTATAGGCTTGGGGAGGAGTGGCTGGAAAGCCACCCAGCAGAAAAGGACCTGGGGGTGGTGGTCTAGAGTTGGCTGAACATGAGGCAGCAGTGGGCCCAGGTGGCCAAGAAGGCCAATGGCATCCTGGCTTGCATCAGGAACAGTGTGGCCAGCAGGAGTAGGGAAGGGTTTGTCTCCCTGTACTGGGCACTGGTGAGGCCGCACCTCGAATCCTGTGTTCAGTTTTGGGGCCCTCACTACAAGAAAGACACTGAGGTGCTGGAGTGTGTCCAGAGAAGGGCAACAGAGCTGGGAAAGGGTCTGGAGCACAAGTCCTGTGAGGAGCTGCTGAGGGAGCTGGTGGTGTTTAGCCTGGAGAAGAGGAGTCTCAGGGGAGACCTTACGGCTCTCTACAGACTACCTGAAAGAGGTTGTAGCAAAGTGGGTGTTGGTCTGTTCTCCCACATAAAAAAGGACAAGAGGAAACAGCCTTGAGTTGCACCAGTGAAGGTTATATTGGATATTAGGAAAAATTTCTTCACTGAAAGGGTTGTTCCAGTTGGCACTGGAACGGGCTTCCCAGGGAAGTGGTTGAGTCACCATCCCTGCAGGTATTTAAAGACCATGTAGAAGTGGTGCTTGGGGACATGGTTTCATGGTGGACTTGTCAGTATTAGGTTTATGGCTGGACAGGATGATCTTAAAGGTCTTTTCCAAATTAGATGATTCTATGATTCTAATAATCTGTCTGCTTAAAGGTGTGGATACTTGGGCTCTTTAAAAGTTCAATTCTAATTGCCAATATCAATTTATCTATAAAAGGTATCTTTTTCAGTTGTAACTTGATTTTCTGATTTTTAATATTTCTGTGGGCCAAGTTAATTTACATTACCAGTAAAGTGGTGACGTAAAAGTGACTTTTTCAAGAGCAAATTAAAAAAAAAAAACCAAACATCTCTTTAGTGAAGGTGTTTTACTTAACTTTTTAACTTTTTGCTGACAAAGGCTCTGACCAAGTAACAGAAAACAACTACAGGTTTCAACCAAGAAGGTGGCAAACAGGAATCTACTTAGGTCTATAAAAGTCCTCTTTCTGTGACACCAACTTGACATAAATAGAAGCAAATAGATTAGAATATGCATAGTCTTCCGTTTTTGCCAAGAATGTGTCCTACAGGCAGATTTATGTTTTCACGTATTTTTAAATCAGTTCAGAACATTGAGCTGCAGTTGATTCTTCATTATGGTATTAGCCTGCTGGAAAATTACTAGAACCAACACAAAATTAAAAATATGTGACAGAAGACTACTCAGGAAAAAGCTAATATATAATGTCATAATAAAAAGATGTATAGAATCTGAAGCCTCTAGATGTTTATAACACTGGATTATGAAATCACCAGGATGTCACTCTACACTTCTGATGACACTTCCTGTATGTTCTTGAAACAAAAACATATGAACAAACAAAAAAAATCCAATCTTCTGAGCAGAACCATGAACCAGCATTTGGGATTGTCATTCCATAGGCATGTAAATAACGTTGGAGTTACCCTTTCTTACTTTTCTTTGTTTTCTTTTTTTTCTTTTTTTTTTTCTGACAGGGAACTTTGATCCGAAAGCCACGTGTAACTTCTATGATAACATAGAGCCTGGTCCTGTTGTGCCACCAAAGCCATATAAAAAGGGTAGGTCAGCAAACAAGAGTCAAGTTACCTAATCCGCACTGAGAAGGCTTCCCTTCCCTGCCTTTCTTGTTTAAAAAAAAAAAAAACAAAAAAAAAAAATGTGATGACAGGAAGCAATTCCAATTATTATAACTTTTCTCTATATATAAACCGAAACACAACATTTTTATCTGAGTGCAGTAATCCTGGCTACAGCTTGTTTTCTCAGGCAGGTTGTTGCAGATGTATGTTCTGTTGATGTGTTGTTTGTAAACACTGTTTTTCACTATTAGAGAAAGATCTGAAGTATACAAGCTTTTATGTGTTAACATGAGCTTCCTAATTATGTGTTTATTAAAAACTCTGTCAGGTTTGTTTAGCTGTATTCTAATATGTATTGTTAGGATTTTTATAGTTTAGTTGAAATCTTTTATGCAAGTCTAATTGGTGCCGGCAGCTTCTTTTAAAATTTGCATTTATATTTTTAATTATAATTTAACTTGACTGGTCGCATTTTACTTACTTTTTTTGTGCAGAGTACGAATTTCACAATAGCCCAGAAGCTTTAGCACAGCAAGGGACCAAGACATAACATGTTTCCTCACTTCCATTTAAACAGATAACAGTGTCCCACTTGTACAAGTTCATTATGGGTTTCTAATATTTTCTGTGCTAACTGTGTAGGATCGAGGATTCATACCCAGCTCAGGAGACTTATGTTTGAAGTAAGCACAGGAGCTTTGTATTTAGTCTCACTTTTTGAGCAGTGGAGATTTGGTCTGTACATCCCAGTGTCTCAGCTCATCCTAAGCAGGCACCTACTTGCCATGTAGCTCAGTAGCTCTCAACTCCACTATGTTTAGTGGTGATTTTGGAGCAGAATCCTATCTTTTGTCTCAGGTATTCTTAGGTCTTTTTTTTTCCTTTTTAATTCCTGAAATCTGTTAAAAGAATGGTTTCAAACCTTAGTGGAGGTTTTAAAACACTTTATATTTTTCTGCTGAAATAGCCAGCCTGGGATCCTGTTCTGTGATACAGAAAAATCAGTGGTCTTTTCTCTGAAAATGTTATGTGTGATGGGATTTCTAGTATCGTGTCTCCTGTAACTGGCACGTACTGAAATCACAGGGTCAAAGTAAGTCACTCTACTGAATCTAATCATACAGTCTGCTTGCATATCCAGATTTTTTAAATAAGTTTTTGTTAAGTGCTTATCAGCAACTGAGTTTTTTTCAGTTGAATTTGGAATTCCTATAAGGAAATTCTCCCCCCACTTTTGAAGCAAGTATTTTACCCTTAAATGCAATAAAATGGTTAGTATGTGGAAAGTTAAACGAAAGAGAAAGCCCAGAACTACTGCTCGTGGTTAAAAAAATCCCCAAAAGAACCCAGACCAATGCTGGGATGCGTTCCCAGGAAAGACAGTAGCAGCAGGTGAGCAGCGGCATGAAGGCAGCTGCCAGGGTTCATGTGAAATTGCAGTGGTCATGTGGTTGATTTAAGGCACTGTGACTTCCTGATGCTTGTAGAGATTCTCTTAATTACACTAGCCTATTTGGTTTATTACTTTAAAGCAAAATAACATGCATGAAATAAGTGATTTTACGTGGCAGTTGGAAAGATAGTGACTTGTAAGGATTTGGGATGGCTTCTATGACTAGCTTCCCGCCTGCGTCAACTTACTAGAGGTCAGTTTCAGCACTGGTGTACTGTGTTTTGAGCTTGGTTTTTAACATGGAGTCATCTTTTTGTTTGGTTGGTTGTTTTTATCCTTAAAACAAATCCATTTCCTTAATATTCGGCTGTTGAAGGCGTGGGCAGAGGGACAGGTACGGGCAGACAAGGGGCTGCTCTGCGCTGGCACCTGGCTGGTGAGCATGAGTGCGGTCTAGTGCCCACAGCGCTGCCTAGAAGGGATTGCTGGGGCCAGGCACTGTTAATGTGACTCGCAGCTTGTGGAGTGGAGAGGCGTTAGAGGAGTACATCTAAGCAAGAGGTTACTTCTGTTTTCTTCAAGTGTGACTCCGAAGACACACAAACCTAAGTACTGTTTGCGCTAACTTTGTGCTGTCAGCCATCTGCTAGATTTCTTAGCAGATGACAGTAATGTGTGCACTTTGAACTACAAATTGGAGTCGTTTTTCACAATGTAAGTTTTCTTTTAATTAAGCTGTTGTACAGGTGTTTGTTTAGCAGATGGGTATCTGAATCATACCTTCCAGGTTTGTGTTCCGAATATTAACATTTTGTAAAGTGTAGAGTTGCCGCATCCTCGGAGTGTGTGTGTTGCTTTTAGCACATAACCTGAGGTCTTGAAGTGGTGGTAGGAAACGCTGGAAAACTAAGTCTTTCCGTGGATTAACGCCTAATGTATGACACGTCCCTGCCGCAAAGCCATGAGGAATAAAAACAGTCATCTTGCTTTGAAACAGGCCTACCATTTTTTTTTTGTATTGTATTTGCTTCAGCCTGGATAAATGCTAGAAAAAGATGCAGAAAGAAGCAGTCTTTCACTTCAGGTGAAGTAGGGTTATTGGACTTTAGAATTTGGTATCCGGCTGCTGTACGTACACCTATGAAGCCATTCCTGAACAGGATGGTGTTGCAGTGCCAGTAACAAACTTTTCAGTACGTTTTAAGCCATTTAAACCTTTAGCAGTATCAGTGACCCAACAGTGGTGACTGCTGGTTTTGGTTTTAGTGCACTGTGGTTAAGTGACTCTTCGTGGAAGTGAAATACTTTAAATATTCAGATTTCACAAAGTGAATTAGAAGTCCTTTAGTAACAGACCTTTAATGTCACCTAAGTAGGAAGGTTTCCATGTTCGTTTTAAGATAGAGTGTTTAATGAGGTGACAAGCCAGTCGTATGATCTTGCCTTATCACTCTTCTCTTCTGAAATAAGAAAAAATGTTTTCCTTTTGGCTTTTTTTAGAGCATCAAAACAGTTCCAAACAGACTCCACGGACTCAGCCAAGAGACGAAGACTTTGAAGGGGCTCCATGGAATTGTGATAGCTGCACCTTTCTAAATCACCCAGCACTAAATCGCTGTGAGCAGTGTGAAATGCCGCGATACACCTGAAAATCAGGAAGGGGCTGCTTTGGGTTGAAAACAGGCTCTGAAGCCGACAGCTGTAGGAGAAGGAAACATGGGGAACCTTTCACTCCATCTGCCCGGCCTTTGCCAGTCAACAATCTTCATATTGCAAGGGGTGGGAGCGGTGTGTTAAGATGTTTCTGCTTGTGCTACACTAAAGAAATAAATTAAGGATGAAATTCTTTCTTATCCCATTGCAGTGAGCAAAGCAGAAAATGAAACCTGAAAATGTAAAAGGGTTCATTTTTGGAAAGAATGTATACAGGAAAGCAAATAACTACTGGTGTTTAGTCCTGTGGTTATAGTTACTGCTTTAGTGGCTAAAAAAAAAAAAAAAAAAAAAACACCACCAAAAAAACCCACCACCTTTTTTTTTTTAAAGAAAAAAAAAATTAAATTATAGGACTCTTAGTAGTGGTGTGAAATGTTACACTTAACCAGAAAAACTGAAGAGCCAGAGCTGACTTAACCTGGCCACAGCTAGCTGGAAAACAAAGGCTCCCTGTGCTTCTAGATTGTAAACTACTGAAAAAGAAGACAGGTAAATGCAACGATAAATTTTGCAATGCATAAAAAGCAAGGAGAAGGGTATTTGTAATTGCTGCTTTTTTTTCAGGGTAACTTATGTCTACAAAAAAATTGCTGTTTGAAATAGTAACCTAAGGTGACTAAGTGAGATACTGTATGAGTGTTACAGAGAGTTTAATCAGAGGTAATTTTTTACAATCCCTTTTGCTTGTACAGTGCTCACCTGGCTGTGTCAACACTGGTAATAAACTAAGAATGGATTCTGCCGTATTATGGATGAAAATACCGCTGCATGCTTTCATCAGGCCGTCGTGTTTGAAAGCTAAAAGTATGCTTATACCTACAATGACCTTCTAGGCCTGTGCTGCGTGGTAGCACGGTGCCAAACACAGACTACTCCAAATTCAGTTTGGAAAACTTGAGCTCAGCCATGGTTGTGTATGAGAAGAGTTTGTACCCAGCTCCTTAGTCCTTTTCAGCTTCCAATTTGTGAAGAATTCATGATGTTTACAGCACAGAAGGTACCTTGTGCCCCAGTTCAAAGTTAGCTGAAAATTAATCAATTAGCTCTTCAGTAAAGGTTTATTTGCACATTGTTAATAAACCAGCCTGTGTAAAATAGCAAATGCCAGATCCTAAGAAACGACACGCTGCAGTCTTTTTTTTTTTGATCAGGAAATACTTGCCGTAGGTTGAAGAACACAAGACTTGCCACTGAAAATCATACTGGTACTTTTATGCATATGAGATACTGTATCATAAAGGTGATGTTCCATGTGTTTGAACGCTTCAGGTTGCTGTAATAAAGCACTCGATACCTGTGAAATCGGACTCGGGTTTGGGCAGCTGAATGATCGCCTTACGCAACTGTGCGGCTGAGCGGGATGGTTGTGCGTGCCGGTCGGAAGCCGGTGCGGTGCACTGGAGGCTTTTATGGTATAACTTTGTCACGATTCAGAGCCGCAGCTGGGCACATCAGCCGAGCTAGGGTGGTTGACTTGGCGACTGTGAGGCAAAAGACACTAGCTGAACCTTACCGGGAGAGATTGAAACTGCTTCGTTTTCACGTGTTCTGAGCTCATGTTTTAATGTGTTCTGAGCTCATGGCAGCCACGTCTGTATGGTCAATTACCACAATTCAGTCGATGTGTGGTAACATGTTCAGCTGTGGCAGAACAATCATGTGTCTGAATCCTTATTTAAAATAAAGCAGCGTTTGTAAGGGGTGGGCGGAGGAAAACTTATCCGGACTGCGTTGCTCCATCTGGTGTCTTCTTTCCCCGCAGTTTGTGAAGAGAACAGTAAAAACCAAACTGTGATCTTAGATGAGGAACCAGTATTTTATCTGGCATTTTCCATATGTTCTTGCACTAATTACATCTTCAGCGTAATTTTAAATAAGCTAAGAGACCTCCGACAGTCAGTGTGCAATGCTGATGAGCAAAACAAAGTCTAAGGCATCAGAGATAGGAATATTAGGATAGGAATGAAGAAAGATAGAAAGGAAAACTATGTGGGGAGCTCATCACCTGTGAAAAGGAGTAAAAAAAATTGCTGTCAAATAGATTTAGAAGGCAAATATTAATTTTGTTCATCTAAGTTGACAGTGTGACAAAACTGAGGTAACCAGAAAGCAGATGGGCAGAAGCGTTATACCGAGGGTAAGCAGTACCGTTGCTGCAATCAGCTGTATAATGAATTATTCAAAACAATACCAGTGACTTCGTGACTTTTCTATCGTGATGCCTTTGCCTTTGTATTATTTCAATTTTCTGTTCACTTGTACTTCTGTTGAAGTTCTGGAAGCATTTGTTTTTGCTGGAATTACAAAATGATAGCAGCTGAAATGACAGTCAGCAAATGAGAGTAGGTGTGTCACGCACCGGTACAGCTCGGCCCTTTTCGGACAGAATGGATGCTACTTTTGAACGGGGGGTGTGGAGGGGAGGAAAGCATGCAGTCCAGTATTCCCCTGAACTGTAATAACCATAAATGGGGACTTGCTCAGCTTAGCCGTAGCTTGACCAGAGGAAGAGGGAGGAAAGCTGCTGTGACAGCGAGATACTTTTTGGAAGACTGAGTGAATGCCGTTAAACTGCAGATGAATTCCTTCATACCAATTATTTTATTCCATTTTTTCAATTACTCTCATTTGTTGCTTGTACAAAAAAAAAAAAGGCAACCAAAAAAACCCACCACCCACCCAACCTCAACCCTTCTGTTGTATTCTTTTACTTGTAAATGCCCGTACTCAAACATTAATAGTAAAGACTTTACATGGTGCTTGAATATTTCTAGTTTGTTAGAATGTAAATTGTATTTTGAATATTGGAAGATCCGTTTTCCTTCTGAAAGCAGGTGATGCTGTTCACACCCCAATTATGCCAAAAAAGATTGGTTTATGTAATATTTATTGAATGCACATAAAACCCTAATGTCAGCTGGCATACAAAATGCACTGTATTGTATAAAACGTGTGTGTGTGTGGGCGTGTGTGAATGGTGGGATGCTGATGCTGTCGCGTTGCGTTAATGCACTACTTGTGATTTCTCTTTTCCTTAAGGACTGAGCTTTCCCTCAACCATGCTACTAGGTTGGTAGAGTTTGTAACTGACTCGGACATTCAGATATTCGAGATTATTTCACTGTTCGTTGAAATTTTATAAAGCTTATTTTATATTTACTGTGCTATTAAGATGAATTCCCTTTAATTATAGAGTACTGCTGTAGTGCTTTAAAAGTTTAGAGTGGGGCTTGTGGAAAACGATTCAGACCATAGTAAGCCAAAACAAATCCTCAACTTTGGATCTACTTTTAATTTGATGTAATTATTAGTCTTGCTGGGGTGGAGAGGAGAGGGGTGGGATGTCAAGCAAAAGGAAGTACTTTGTAAAATGTAGTCTTAGATCAGATTGAATTGTGTATCTGTGTGTCTGTGGTATGTGTGTGTTTCTCTTGAAAAATGGGAGGTGTGGTAAAAAGGTGTAATAATTCTTAAAAGAGCTGGTCTCAGTACTTTCTGATTATGATATGCTACTAAATCACTCTTTTTTTAAAGAAAAAAGAAAACCTTCTCTTTCAGTTTACTTTACCTGTCCCAGTTATACATCTCTCATTTCAATTTCTAAATACTTTTACTATTGATTGTAAAACCCCTTGAAACTGAAATAAAAATGCTTGAGTTGAAACGGGGACAAAACAAAATAAAACCAATAAAGAATGTTTTTTAAAAAGGAATGTGAGAATATTAAATATGTTAAAAACAAGCTTGTCATCAGGATGATAGCTCTTGTTTTAAAGTTCAGTGGTGTACCCTAGAATGTGAAAATGACTGTCCTGATGAGAAGCGGGCCGTGGGACTAAGCAGTTCCTCAGCTTGTGTTTGGTACCACGGAATTCACGTGCTCTGTACCACAGTGACTCTAAATCCCATAAAGACAGACAACGTGCACAGGTGTCACATCTCCTAGTCAGTGCTGTCGCTGCGTACTGCTGCATTTGTTTCCTTTCAGAATGTCAATATTGTATGAAGCTAGACATGACTGAATTCTGCCAGATTTCTTCAGTTTGGGGCTTTCATTTGTTGTTTATGTCCATAAATATTAATGCAAATTCTTTTTGGTTTGGGGTTAATAATCAGAAATCAATGGTGTTAATGCAATATTATAATCCTGGATTTTTCAGTACCTTTGAAACCGATTTTAAAAAACTGTGTTCTTGAAACTTATTTATTTATGGTGGCACCAGTGTATCTAATCCATATTTCCTGCTGTGTGAAACCCTGTTAAATTTTTTTCATTAAAAAAAGACGACACGATCTCGTTTAATCCTGTATATATGGTGTCTACATTCTAGATTTGTGTATGCTGTGAATGAACTTACTACTAAGAGATGAACTTGTATCAAAGCATTCAGAGGCTATGCATGCATGGTTCCTCCAGAAAGTGCATACTCAGAGTTGCAGATTCCTGCAAAAATAAATTAATAAAACTAAGCAAACATCACATCCTGCATTTGTTCTCGTATGTAGTAGGAAACAGTTAAAAAATACAGCCCTTCTGCTGTCGTAGTCCGATTGTTTCTGCTCTCCTGCTTGAACCCACAGCTGTAGCACGCTTGTCTCAGGGCTCTGGGGTTCTCTTCCCGTGATCAGCATGGTTCTTTTGCCGAACATTGAACTGGGCTCCGAATCCCGTTCCTGTGAATGTGGACAGCTTGTATAGGCAGGAGTCCTATTTGGATGGTGGATATTCCATGCAGCTGCTGGTGTGGAAACGGGGCATAGGATGTTCAGGGGGTGAAGCTGAGCTGTGAATGGAAGGTTGTTACTGAAGGAGCAGCCTTGTCTGCTGCGGCAGGCATCACTGTTTGTCTGTGGCCTTCACGGCAGGGGAAAAAAAAGAATATCTGGATTATGGAAGTCCATCTTCTGCTAAAACCTCTTGCAGAAAGGCACTGCAGTGGGAGACAGTGGAGAATTTGAAATGCATAAATCCATATGCGGGCAATTTCTTTTCATTAGTTTGTTTTCTCCATTACCTTGATTGTATCACTCACCATAACCTAAAACTAGACAGTTCTGTAGCTGTGCTACAGCTGTAGTTTATCTGGATTATGGAAGTCCATCTTCTGCTAAAACCTCTTGCAGAAAGGCACTGCAGTGGGAGACAGTGGAGAATTTGAAATGCATAAATCCATATGCGGGCAATTTCTTTTCATTAGTTTGTTTTCTCCATTACCTTGATTGTATCACTCACCATAACCTAAAACTAGACAGTTCTGTAGCTGTGCTACAGCTGTAGTTCGTT